AAAGAGAAAATCTAAATGCCTTTCCTTTGGAGCAAGTGGTTTTAATGCTGAGACTGTGTGGCAGCTATTTTAGGTATTCTGGGTCTGAAGTTATGTGCAAGATTAAGTTGCCAGAATGTTTGACCACCAGCTAAGTGGAGAGTTACTATAGCCAATTAGTCTTATTGCCTAGTTTTCTAATTGAGGAGTCTTGCCACTAGAGGGAAGTATTAAGGGAAGAGACAGAGGGACATAAGCTGTAGCAGAATTCTTTTTTAAATGAATATCTTCTGCCATTATATTGCATTTATCCTTTACCATCAACATCTATCATTATGGATGATTTTCTGTTATAATGCTTTATGTATATAATCTCATTAAATCATATAGTTTATTACCTGTATTTATGCAACATTGAGACCCACAGATGTTAATAACTTGTCTGTGGTCACATACCTAGTAATTAGTAGAGCTATTTGGCCCCAACTCTTCCCAATTCTTAAGCCCATGTTCCTAATCACTTTGTTATACTGAGAATTCTATTCAGAGACTATGGGTATAAGCTTCGTTCTGTATCTAGAACACTGGGACTGAATTCCTAACACTACACATATGCATATTTACAAAATTCTGCTCTAACACAAGTTAGGTGTCCCATAAAGTTTATAATATTAAGTGTTAACCAGGATTAATAATGTTTTGGAGTTAAAGAAAAGTCCTTTGACGTAATAGCATTCCAAGAACATAGCATGCATTTAAGTCACTCAGTAACATACATTGCATAATACAATGCCTGTGCATAGTAAGGGAATGTAGCTATAACTCAATTTTGTGCAGTCAATGAAGAAAGGTCTCCCTAAGCAGCTTTGCAGGGGGAAAGTGTTTAAAGTGTTTTATGAAAATAAACTGTTTCAAACACCCTGAGTGCTTTAATATTTCAAAACATTTTCTCTAAAAGGATTTCCCCATTTAAGTGAATTGATTGAACTACTTAATGTAGTTCTTAGAAATCATTTTTGAAATATGTAAGAATGTTGCAATTTCCAGTTTTAATGTTTTTACTAATTCAAATTACTTTTCTTTATTTAATCTGAAATAACATGGTTTTATTTCAAATTTGCTTCTCATGAAGAATTCCAGCAACACTAAATTGACAATCTTTATGACAAAAAGTGCTTATTTACCAGAGTTCTTTTGCTCTTTGTTAAAATTTCATTAGGCCATCAAAACTGTATATTCTAAATCAACTGCTGAAGGAATAAAAGCTCACATTTTTAGATTGCACTAGAACCATGAACATCACACCAATTAGGGAGAGTCATAAAATTTTAGTTTAGACCTAACTCCATCTCCCTTTGAGTATGTTTCTACATTGGTAAAATCAAGAAATGTGCCCTGCATTCTTGTAACATTGTTATCATCAAAGGAGAAAATATGTAAGAAAACAAAACAATAATGATTTTGTTAGAAAATGATTTAAACTGGTATTGAGTAAGAATGGTATTTTAGTACTTGATTGAAAGAGCTTTCTTCCAACCTACATGACTATTACAAATAATATATGAGTAACTTCTCACAAATAAGTTTATTATATTTAAAGTCAAGTTATTTAAAAGGCAGTACTACCTGGTGATATATCAAAGTGTTTTCCAGAAAGGTGAGTAGCAGTCAATTACATGAGGTTTTGGAAATATATAATAGCCTTTGTATATGACATATTTAAGCACTTACACATTTCTCATATTTCAGCAAATATGCTTTATTCAAGATAGTATTTATGATTCCTACAATTGAATCCCCTCAATTTCCCTTTGGATCTTTGTTCATAATGCTGATCTTTCCTAGTAGTTTCTCCAATAACTAACAGATGTGGACAAGACACAGGGTTTCTCAAAGTCTAACAGAACTAATGCCTTGAGCTACAGTAGTTGTATTCCAATTTATTTGACCAGAAAGAAAACATACTAGGGCCGTGAACTAATGGAAATATCACAGACTGAGTCAGTCCTCGGATTAAATGCCAGCTCCTCTTCACCATCAGTTAGGTGTGTGTCCTTGGGCCAGTCCCTTCATCTCTCAGTCTCACTTTTTAAATCTATAATATGGGGGTGGGGGAAGATAACCTATCTTCCATAGTTGGGGTGAAGATTGAGTTAAGGTATTGTATATGCAGTACGGTATTTATGAAATATTAGGTGCTTGTGGGAAGGAAAAATAATTCCTCTACTCTCTGAATTCCTAGCTGAGATGCCTGTAATCAAATACAGATTAACAAGAGAAAAATGGAAGTTTATTAATATATACTTCATGTACACATGGGAGATACCAGGTGAAAATGAGTTACTCAAAAGTGGCTTTAGAATTCAGACTTAAATATCTTAACAGGGAAAGGGAAATGTAGGCTTCTTAGGGGAGAACAAATGATTTTTAGGAAAGATAAATGGGCCCTTTCTAGAAAGAATAAGCAGGAGGTATGATAGTCTGTGACAATTTTTGTCTGAGTGTGATATGCACTTCCATCTCCTCTTCTGTAATTAGAGTCAATTGTGGATGAAGCTCCCGGGAGGGACTATATGACAATTGAGATCCTCTTGAAAGATATGTCTTTAGGAAGGTAAGGGAAGTTCAGAGAAAGTCCCCTGCATTTGCTGTACTTCATGTGCTTTCAGCTCAAAATAATCAGTATGCCAAAGTGGCATGTTTGGTGTTGGCATGTCCCAAACTCCTGTCATCATTTTGGGGTGGCATAGTCTGCTATCCTTCATTCTCAATACAAGGCATTTTTTTTTCCTTCCTTTCCTCTTATGGGACTTGGAGAGCTCCATGGGGCCAGTTCATAGACTAATGAGGAGGAATAAATAGACTTGCTTCACACAGTTGCAGCTTTGGCAAATTTTTATTCGCTTAGAATTGAATGTCCAAGCAGACTCAGTTGCCTGCTGATTTTCAGAGGTTTAGTCTCTAATTGACTAAGTTCCACAGATTCTGCTATACAGCATTGATTTTCCAGCATCAGACTTTGACAATAAATGCTCTAAAACTCTTCATTGTTTTTGGTTGCAAAAATACATGCCAATAGCCCAAGATAGTTTTTCTTTTATCAGTACTCCAGAGTTAAAGACTAGAACAACCAAAGTGGCATTATCCATGCAAGTAAAATCTTCCACAGCATTCCTTAAACTATATTCAGAGCAGAGAAAAGACTTCAAATGCTAAATCATGTTAGGACACCATTTAAGATTATCACAGATTTTATGTGATTCTGGTAATTCACATTTGATTCATATTTCATGCTATTTATAAATATAAATGAAAAATTTACTAGGGGAGTGTTATAAATATAAAGAAGCTTTCATTTTTTTAACTTGTGGAAGCTACTTGACTTTAACAGAAATGAAGTAAACACCAGGTAATAATAATCATGAAATCGTACCAGGTACCAAGAAACACCGCCTCCCTCCACCCGTTTGTTTTCCCACTTGGAAGTAGCCCAACTATTAGGTTATTTGATTATTAACTTTAAGTTGAATTTATTTATATATTATAAACTACTAAGCCTGTTTTTGAAAAACATTTAACTAAAGAGTAAAATTTTACCTTGTTACCAGATTCTGAAGAAGATGTGGTTGAAACTCCTGCCGTCTCCCATGATGAACACACGCACCAAGAGATAAAGGGCCAAAAAACGCTGGCAACTCCTGCAGTTCGCCGCCTTGCAATGGAAAACAATGTACGCTTTCTTAATATTTAAGTATGAGATTACATGGAAAATACACATTTGTACCTATGAAAAATTAGCCAGCTATCCCATGCTGAGTTGGCTCAAGTTGGGGTTGAAGAAAACAAGAAAATGTTTTACTGAATTGTGATCATTGCACAGAAGTACTCAGTGAGAATTGAGAAGAAACTGAATTTATTCCTATATTGAGCAGTGGGATTTTATCATTCTTTACCAGAGCCCAGTAGTAGTCAGGGCTACTGTTTATTGAGACAGGCATTTGGGTGCATGTGCTTGACTGATGGAGGGAGTGAACACCTTTACTGGGATGGAGGGACGCAGCACAGGGAAGGGAAGGGAAGGAAAGGGAAGTGGGTCGGGTAAGGGTGTGGTCTCAAGGATCTGATCCAAGGCTGATGGGAGAATCACAGAATTGTACTGAATTGAAGTAACAAGGCCAGCCTTTTGTGTTCGCCCCTACTAGACAGTCAGGGGCCTAACCTCTAGGGCAATGTGGCTCTCAGGCCCAGTGATACATATTTACATATTATCTCATTTAATTTTCACTTGAACTCTAAATTAATGGGGCTATTCTAAGATTAAGGTCAAATTACCAGTTCAAGTCACACAGGTAATACAGTGGCAGAGCCAGGATTCTGAAGTGAGTCTCTGTGGCTGTAAAACCAGTGCTCTTAATCATTATGTCACTACCTCAGCAACTGCTGCCTCCATTACTTGAGCACATAGGAGCTGGACACTGTACACGTAGTATCTCTAATCCTCACAGCAACCCTGCAGGTGGTCTGGATTATCCCCATTTTGCAGATGGGAAAGGGCAGAGAAGTGATGAAGTTGCCTAAAATCAAGTAAGTAGCTGAATTGGCGGATTGAACACATTTGTCCAGTTCCAAAGCCTGAGTTCTTCCCACTTTGTTCCACAATGCAGTTTTTTTGTTTATCTGTTTTTGAGAGAAGTAAGTTACAGCGGGGGTGAGGGGAATGACAAAAGGTTACATTTGGAAATAAGTAATGAGTCATTAAAATGTTTGTATCCTTTAGCCAGTTATCCTACCATTGGGGAAATATCCTAAGGGAACAATCTAGATTACATTCTTCCAAGTGTTTTAAACAGACAAAAATTAGAAGGCATGTATGTGTTCAAAAATCATAAATAGCTACAGATTATGTACAATGTAGGTACTGCATTGTTAACATAGGAAAATGAACAGAACATACAGTTACATTCAACTGATGAAATTCCATTTAGAGACTTTAATGATGGATTTCTTTCTTTTTAGGTAGCTTTATTTTTAGTACTAAAATGTATCATTTTTTAGATTAAGTTGAGTGAAGTTGTTGGCTCAGGAAAAGATGGCAGAATACTTAAAGAAGATATTCTCAACTATTTGGAAAAGCAGACAGGAGCTATATTACCTCCTTCACCAAAAGCTGAAATTGTGCTGCCTCCACCGAAATCAAAAGAGAGAACCATTCCTGCAGCAATATCAAAGCCTCCGGTCTTCGCAGGCAAAGACAGAACAGAACCCATCAAAGGTAATGATGATGACAGGAAGGTAAGGCCCTACTATGATTTAGTTGGGGGGATCTACTGCAATAGATCATTACATATTGTGGTGTTTTCAGTTTTTACTGAGGGGAAGTTCAAATTCAGCATCTTAATTTCTTCTAAAAAGAAATTAAAAATTTCTTTTTAATTTGAAAGCTTTAATTTACGCCATCAATTTCTAAAGAGTAATAGGTTATCAGGTTTCTTGGAATATAAACTTGTCTCCAATAATTGTTCTGTTTGAAGTCTTGCCCAGGATATATTAAACATTCATTATTTCTAATTAACTTTCAAAATAACTAGTTCTGATTTGTTATTTATAAACTCTTAGGATGGTTACCTTCCAGAAGAGTGGCTTTACAAGAAAGCCATCAGGTAAATACATGGCTTGCATTCTTTTGAATTTTTTAAACCCCGCAGCACTGAAAGCAGTCATGTCTTACACTATTATACTTGACCTTGAGTGTTGTGCTACAGTCGGTACTTCAGCATTGACATTAGTGGCTGTCATGTTATGTAGTGAGGATGGTAGCTCCAGGAGGACGAGTTTAGTTGAGAGAGCAAATGATGTTAAAGAACCTTCTGTTTCAGCAAAAAATATTAAAGGATTTAAGAATTTAAATATGTACATATTTTTAATGTTTTCTAGGCTTTCACAAAGCAATGGTCAAGACCATGTCTGCAGCCCTGCAGATACCTCACTTTGGGTATTGTGATGAGGTTGATCTTACTGAACTGGTTAAGCTACGGGAAGAATTAAAACCCGTTGCTTTTGCTCGTGGAATTAACCTCTCATTTATGCCTTTTTTCTTAAAGGTGAGATTTCATTCATTTAATCATGTTATGCCCTTCAAACAAGGCTGGAATAGGACATTAAAATTTTGTTTTGCAAACGTGAAATGTGTTAACTATGGATTTGAATAAAAATGTTGCTTCTCATCATATCACATAGTTAGAAAAATGTACATTATTTATTTCATAGGAATTTATAAAATTGCAATATCTGTGTCATATTTTTACCAACTCTTTTTGGGCTAAATAAGGATTGTCCTGCCAGTTAAGTAAAGCCTTTAATTCTGAAAGGATCACTCCTGGTTTGAGCAAAAATGAGACTTGGTAGTGATATTGCTTATCAATACATGCATACATTTTTTATTTATTTAACAAACTTATATTGAGGCTTGTGGGAATCATTTCTAGTATTAGCCCTGCAACCAGTATAAAGAGTAAGACCAGCGGCTGACCTTAAGCAGCTCACAGTATAGCTCACATTAACAACTATTTATAAGGCAGCTACCATGTTCAAATCTCATACTAAGCATGCTGTATACATTACCTCTGTCAACTCTCAAAAACCCTGACATGTAAATATTGCTTTCCATTTAAGGAAATTGGAGTCCAGAGAAGTTAAGAAATTTGTCAAAAATATATAGCAAACAAGTGGAGAAGCTAAGTTGCAGATTCTGGTCTATTTTACTTAAAATTGCATGCTGGTGTCTCTAACGCTGATGCGGCTTTCCTCTAGCCCTTTCACCACACTGATCAAATTATTATGTTATCCCCTGATTCTTTTCAGTGTTTTCCCTTCATTGCTGTCAGAGTAGTTTCTAAACTCCTCACAAATGTGAGTCTCTGATGCTACATGTTTAATTTCCTCTCTCTCACAGCCTCACCCTCTTTTCTAGTCAGAGTAAGCCACACATGGGTCTGGAATATATGGACACATGACCCCACTCAAAATGCCCCCTCCCGCCCTGCCCAAATACCTATATATCCTAGACAGCACACTTTGTTCAGGTATAGCCTTCTCCAGAAGCCTTCTGTGGCTGTCATGGTTTGGGTTCAGTAATCTTTTGTTTCCCATTACAATTTATCTCATTATAGCAAGTGTTTACTCAGTTGTCTCTTCACTGAACCCTGAGATTCATGGGGTCAGTACTGTTCTCCTTTAACTCCAACTTTTTAGCAACTACCTGACAAATAAGTGGATACTCTGTAAACATGAGATGTAATAGATATCTATAAATGAGAGATCTGGACTACATTAGCTATAGAGAGTCATCTGTAGAGGCATGGCAATTGAAACAGGTAGATGGGGTCACCCAAATTATGTGTGAATGAGAAGAAAATAAACCTAAGTGTTTTACGTCAGTGTTTAAGGGGTAGGTAGAAGTTAAACTGGCAAAGGACCTTGGAAGAGGATGAGTAAGGTCAGTAGTATGACAATAAGAAAACAGGAAAGGGTCACTTAGAAGTCATATTGCTATGTAGCAAACCACCTCGAAATTTACTAGTTTGAAGCAAGTCATTATTTCTCGTGAGCAGGACTAGGCTGCTGATCTCGGCCAGAGCTCACTCCTGTGTCTGCAGACAGTTAAGTAGGGTGGCTAGGGGTGGGCTGGTGTGGGATGGCCTCAGCAGAGATGACTCATTTCTCTTCCTATGTCTCTTCCCTCTGCCTGGCATGCCAGCCTACACATATTCTCAAAGTACAGTCAGGGATAAGAGAGGAAGCAGAAAAGCTCAAGCACTTTTTCCAGCTCTGCTACATCAAATTTGCTCTTATCGCAGTGACCAGCCAGTCACATGACTAAATCCAGCATCGGTTTGCCGAAGGCACCACCAAAGGGCATGTATGCAGAGGTGTGAAAGATTGGGGCTATTGATTCAGCCTCATGCCAAAAGAAAGAGTCTTAAGAGGGGAGTAGATGACAGTTACATGTATCACCAAGGCTAAATAGGATAAGGGATGGCAACAGGCTATTGAATTAGTAATTAGGAGGTTATTGGTGGCCTCGCCCAGAACTAGTTGAATAAAGTTTTGTTGAGGTAGAAGCCTCAACAGTTTTTTGGTGAATGAATAGATATTAAGGATGAGGAGACAATTAAAAAATCTAGTAAAAGGCGGACTGGACTAAATACAGAGAGTAGTTACGATGGTTGGGTAGATGGAAGAAAGTTTCCATCTGTTCCCTCCCCTCCTGCGCACCTTAAAGGAAAAACTGAGCAGATTTGTAGGCTGAGGGAAAGAGCTTCAAAAATGTAAAGTTAGGAATATGTGACTGACAAGTGAAACTGCTGACAAATCTGTTTCAAAGGGAAGATAGATGAGTACTTTAATATATTGAATTTATTATTGTTTTTCTTCATTGTTCCAGCAGTTTAAGTGAAAGATCTGATCTTTATTTTTGAAAATAAAAATTTAGTATGATTTTATTTGTTTAAAAAATTTTTTTCTACCTCTATGAGCTTCAAAACATTTGGAAAATATTACAAAGTATTGTACAGGGTAAAAAATGCCTCCTTGTCCATGGACACACACCCTTTTGCAAAAATTGGATTATACCCACAATACTGTTTTTGTGTAACACTTTAATTAACCTTAGTTATGGATTTTTATATAAAGAAGATTAAATTACAGTTATCAAATCAAATGCTTAATAAAACTTCCCTTAATTCTGAGGATATGATTTTCTTTTCCTGTCAAGACCATTGACCCAGACAATAATACTTAACACAATGCACATAAAGAACTCTTAATTGGACTAGATATGACAAGTTGTGGGGGAGGAGAATCTTTTTAAGGACAATCTTGAGCTTTTTTCCCCCTATTTTTTAAATTGAATGCAAGGCATGACAACCAAATGCAGTGTGTGAACTTTGATTAGATCCTGGGTGGACAGAGAAGCATCTATAAAGAACATTTTGGGACGGTTAGGGAAATCGGAATACGGACAGAAGAAGAAGGTCTTATGAGAAGAAAAAGGGGGGAAAGGAGAGAGATCAAGGAAGACTGCAGAGTGGGAAGACAGGCAATCGTTCAGGGAGGTGGGCTGTAAAGTAAAGCTGGGTCCTTGCTTGACCAAGTACATCAGGTCGGACACTAAGCTCTGACAGTGCACCCAGAAACCCTCTCACTTGCTCTTTCTACACAGGGAAGTAGCTTGCTGCCTTCTCGTATTTTAATTCAAAGTGGTCTTATTTGAACTACAGGTTTACTTCTCACAGAAGCCTTAAGACTCTACATGTAAATGAGGAAAATCACAGAATTTAGACATTTATTTTGGAACTTTGGTCAGTCTGTGTAGTCATTTTGAAAATCTCCTTGATATTTACAAACTGCTTGACTACTTTATCTTTTATTCTTAAATGATTAGGGTGACCCATTTCTATACTACTTGAAGGTAACATTGGGAGTCATATGCTTAGATACATAAAGACTTGAAATTAAACTCAGCCTAAATAAGAGTTCTTTCCCTTCCTGCTTCACACCTCTTCTTACTGCCTCAGATTCCCTATCCTTACTGAGTTGAAAGTGCTGATGTTGTATTCTCTTTCTGTTACACAGGCTGCTTCCTTGGGATTACTCCAGTTTCCTATCCTTAACGCTTCTATGGATGAAAACTGCCAGACTATAACATATAAGGTTGGCCATGTGTGGTGGAAAAGCTCTTGCTGTAAATAGAAGGTGGGGCAAATGTGCTTGTAGGTTAGACAAGCTTTTAATGGTCTTTTTTAGCCTGGATTTAAAGGTATGGGATAAAACATTCAACTGAAATAGAATTTCTTGTTATTGTTGTTAGTAAGATTTATTGGTTAATAATAATACTGTTCAGACATGCAGATTACCATTTTTGAGCCCTTTTGGTTTTTTGCTTAAAATAATGGAAATATACAGCTATGAGGTAATGGACTATGTAACCGTCCTATATATCCTCCCCTCAAAAAGAATAATCTCTCTCAAAATGGAATTCCTAACATCTTTAAAACAAGAATAATTTAAACAGAAATAGGAAATGTAGTGAAAATTCAAATTTATTTGAATGAACTCTTCTGTTTGGAGTGTAAGTTTATTGAGACCAAGACGCTTTTTGGGATGCTTATACTTATATACTTATTTATATTTCTCATTAGAAATATACAACCAAGAAGTGACCTTATATATTCTAAAAATCTTCCCATATGATTAATACAATTTCTGGGTTAAGTATATACTTGTTGCAAAAAATTTTTTAAAAAAGTAATGTTTACTTTCAGTCCCATGACCCTGACATAACTGACTGTTTATGTGGAGATTTTATTTTTACAAATTTAACTTAAAATTTTTTTTGATTGGACTTTCTTTTTTTTCATTTAATCTATTATGAACATCATCTCTAACCAAATAAATATAACATTGGTATCATTTATTTAGCCAATGACCTGTTGATAAACTCTTGATTGTTTGAAGTTTCTCCAACTTACAGTCTGAACTCAACCTCCCTCTGTATCTCTATATACCTCTGTATTTATCTCCTGAACACAAATTTTGATAAATATTGGTACATATTGTTAAATAGTCCACAGAAAATCTATACCAGCTTACAAATCCACTAAATGTATAGAAATAACCAAAAAAATATTTTTGAAGTACTTTAACAATGATTTCTCTTAGATCATCACCAATATGGTAAAAATAGTTTTTAGTAGTGTTTTCATAGGACAGTGGAGGTTGATCCTTTCTTTCCTGTTATCTTATGAAAAGGCCTACTGTATAATTTTTTTTAGGCTTGTCATAACATTGGGATAGCAATGGACACTGAGCAGGGATTGATTGTCCCTAATGTGAAAAATGTCCAGCTCTGCTCCATATTTGAGGTTGCCACTGAGTTGAACCGCCTCCAAAAATTGGGCTATACAGGTCAGCTCAGTACCATTGATCTTACAGGAGGAACATTTACTCTTTCCAACATTGGATCAGTAAGTAATAGTCATGTTTAAATTCATAAACTGTAACTTAAGATTTCTGATCATGTGTTCAATTAAAATTACAAAATTTCATTTGCCAGTTTATCCTCAAAAGCTTAATTTTTCTACTCTTTTTTTTTTTCAAGATTGGTGGTACCTATGCGAAACCAGTGATACTGCCACCTGAAGTAGCAATTGGGGCTCTTGGAGCAATTAAGGTATATTTATTTAAAAATTAGCAAAAAATATAAGCAAATTGGTAAAATAAACACAAAAGAGAGTAACCATTTCTGTGGTTTTCCCTTTTGTCATGGCTTGAGTGCGATGTTTGCCTTTGTAAGCCAGTTGTTTCTTCCTAAGAGCAAGGCCTATAATTCCAGTGGCTGCCTCTGTGTATTATAAAGTGGTGGTGGTCTGGATTGTTTCCGTATGGATCCTGCTCACAACGATGGGAAAAATAGGAATTGGCATTTTCAAAAGTCATTTGGGACATCCATTTGCCCTCTATTATGAAGAGGGGCATTTGTCTCATCTTTTGCCACTGCTGTTGCTGAGCTTGCACTTGGAGCGTGTGAAGGTTGACTCTTTATTCTCTGCCCTATTGTAGGCCCTTCCCCGATTTAACCAGAATGGAGAAGTATACAAGGCACAGATAATGAATGTGAGCTGGTCAGCTGATCACAGAATTATTGATGGTGCTACCATGTCACGCTTCTCTAATTTGTGGAAGTCCTACTTAGAAAACCCAGCTTTTATGCTACTAGATCTGAAATGAAAGTTAATAGACATCGTTGAACTTTCCAAGCCAAAAAAATAGGTAGAGCCCAGCTATGCAGCACATGTTCTCCATTACTATTTGCATTATAAATAAATTGTGTTGTATGATCAACGTTCCAAGACACAGCGTTTATCACTACTCCGTTCAACTTTTTACTGAAAATGAATGGTGTGATAGTGCTCTGGGGGCTGTCAGATTTATAGGTTGTAGTCTGACTTACTACAGTGCTGCGGTCTTTGTGTCAATGGATTGAAACTAGCAAGAACAACAAAATTAATATTACTAAAAGACAGATAGCCATATGCAGTATTTGCCCTATTCTTTTTCTATAATTTTTTATTTTAAACTGACTTTTAATGAAACTTCTCAGTTACACTTAGTTGGGAAAAGGAATTTACATCCAAAAATATTTTCCATTTCCCCACGATAATGCTAAGTGTTATATAAGTGCAATTATGCTCATATTTTAAGATATCCAGGAGTATGTTGCTCTGTAGCAATTATCTGTAAATGTCTTATTTATATAAATTAATATCTTTTAAAAGGGAAAATCATAAGCTGATATTAAAAATGTCCAATTATAGTTTTATAACCAATAAGACTATTCAAGATGTTTGTTTAGGATGGATATATTTTTTAAATTTTGGTAACATTTTGGTGTTTTGTTGGGAGAAAATGTCTCCTTTGCAAACTTGCTTCATGTAAGGAAGGTACTTTAAATGTAGTAGCCACTGACATTATCTTACATTCTGACATCCACTGCCTCTTAACTTTTTTTAACTTTCTTGGGCTTTGGTTAAAAAAAAGAAATTAATGTCTATTGTATTCTCCATCTCCTGAGAAGGAATGTGAATAAAAGGAGAAAGTCTAATAGGTACTTATGGACATTAAAGTAAAATGATAAATTTTATACAGGAATTAAAGTATCATCACGATCATTTTGTTAGAGGCCCATTTTAATCAGAAATAGCATGAAGATGAGTATAATCCAGCATTTTGGTTTGCATTCAGAAATCCAGTTTGTTTCTAATATTGTCTAATTGAATAGTATATAATCAAGTGAAGTTTTTTGACAGCAAAAGAAGTTGTTTTAATGTCTGCTTGATATTTTTCAAAATGGAAATGATGTATATATAAATTAGAAAATAATCAAATTAACATTTTTATTTTTAAAATTTAGATAATATGAAGGGTTACAAAGAAAACAAAATCATCCATAATTATACCACTGCTGCCATTTTGATCAAGGTATCTACATACATAGCTTTTCTTTTTATAAAAATGGGATCATGCTTTATCTACTATTGTATAATTTGATTTTTTTAAATTTAACATTATATTATGAGTAACTTTACATGTCAATAAACAATTCTACATTATCATACCTTTACATGGCTGCATAGTATTCTAATGTGTGCATTTATTATATATTTAAATATTCTACTGTATACCAAGCATGCTGCTAAGTACAGGGCATGCAATGCCTGCATTCATGGTCCCTGCTTTCACTGGGCTTACAGTCTAGTGGAGGGAACAGATATTAAATAATCACAAAAATAAAAATATAATCATATCTCTAAGTAGAAAACAAACAAACAAACCCGAGTCCTCTGAGAACCTATAATAGCAGTTACTGCTCCTGTCTAGGAGGATCGGAAGAGAATATGCCATAATTTAACCAATTCCCGGTTGATAGCATTTAAGTGAAGAATGACATGATCAGTAAAATTTTCACCCTCACTTAAAGAATATGAAAACTGGGAGAATAGGAGCCTTGAAATGAGTGTGTAATATATTCCCCTGATGGTCCAGCATTACTGGGTCAAGATATTCTTTACATTTCTCAAAACAATCTTTGAGCTCTCTGTTCTATTCTAAATCTCTGCCATTACCACCTTCTCTTTTGTCTTATTCATTGAAAATTCAGAAATTTTAAGGTTTTGCCTCTCGATGGGTGTAGGGCCTTTAGGAAAGGAGGATTCCCAGGGGGCCAGGAGTGCAGCCCTAGCAGGAGTGTTGATCCATAGGGCTCTACACATTGTTGGGTAGGTAATGGGTAGAAAAAGGCCTTTGCTGTATTCCTAAAGGTTGAAATTAAGGGGGAGAAACCAGAAAATTATAGTCCTTCACTAATGTGTCTGGAGGTTGAAAAGTACTATGTGTCCATGGGGGAGAAGCCAAAGTTACTGGTTCAAAATTATCGTTGAGTGTGGCCAACAAGAAAATGAAGCTTCCGCTCATGAAAAGCATTCCACCCATTTTGAAAAGGAAGCCCAGGAAGAAAGGAAGTTTGAAGAACAGAAGCCAAAATTGGTGTTAATTTCCACTGTATAGATCAAAATGTACCTTATCTTGGAAGATTCCAAGAAGTGGTTATGTAGCAATATAGCCCACAGGCCTGTTTAGGTATTTCCCATGGTGTTCCAATCCCAAAGAGCACTAAATGGATTTCTTTGCTGACTTCTGGGTAAACTCGGGTTTGAGAAAGAGGTCATGGTGCTCAGCACTAGTCCATAACACCAGAAGTACAAACCTTTCCTCAAAATTGTCAAAGGCTTTTGAAACATTCACCCTGTAATTGATTAGCTAGTTCATTCTGCACATATTTAATTGAGTGTGTATTCGGATCCAGGCCCTGGGATAGATACTATGGCTAGAGAAGAAGAAGACAGGTGAGATCTCTGCCCTAATGGCAGAACTTCAGTGACCAAGCCTTCACCAGAAGTGGGTCTGTGCCAACAACGTGGAGAAGAGCAGGGCGTTTAGAGCTGACTGGTATTTACAGTCAGTTCTTGGTGGGTTTGCTCCTCCCCTAAACTGTCTTTTCTTGCTGAGGCTGGATCATGTGTCTTTCTTTAACACTCTAGTCCTGCCTCATAAATCCTGCCTCACAAGCCACACGTGCAATAGGATAGACTCCATCCTCAGGTCACACAAACCCAAGCCATTCAAGTTTTTGAAAATGTTATGTTCAGGAGTTGCTTTTCATGGGACAAGAAACATAGACTACACCTGGTTGACCCTGGACCATTTAGGAAGCAATCTGGGAGGACTGTACTGTCTGAGCATAATATTTTCAGAATGCACCTAAAAGAGCATTTGATTACTATCAACGAGTATCTGTCCTCTGTGCTCACCATACAGTGGTAAGGAGGGAAAAATTGAGAAAAATAGAGACAATAATTACATGTGCAGACATCATTAATGCACATGTTTTAATTCATTTAATGTCCTCAGCACCCCTACAAGGTGTGGTTATTATTATCCCTAATTTTAAAGATGAGGAAACTGAATCACAGATGTGGGGAAGTTGGGGTTCCTATGGCCAGGATCCTCACTGACCTTAAACCACCTGATGATGTAACTGGCCTGTTGCTGGGCTGCTGCTTCCACACCTTTAGGCAATAAGCTATTATTGAGCTATCTAGAGAGCTCAGCCCAGTGCTCTGGGCGGAGGCAGAGACGGTAGTGCTTGACCTACTGCTGGAGAACAAGCCGGGTAATAAACCCTTTCACCCCAAAGAATGTTTTGCTGTCAATTTCTTTCGTCACACTGAATCCATAACGAACTTGCCTGGGGCTGAAACCCACTGGCAAGACAATTGGCGAAAGTTGGTAGGGCTCACTGTTGACCAAGGAGAAAGACAGGCTGCCCTTATGGGAGGGGTGCTTCAGCGGGCTGCCCCGTGAATGGGGAGACAGTGGATCGTCCCCCAATGGGTATGTGATCTGAGGGGACTGGGCCCCACCCCAGGACTGGAGGCAAGTGGAGGTGACACCTGAGGCAGCAGGGGTGGCTCTTGATATAGTAAGCAGATCCTTTGAGAAGCAGAGTGCCTGGAAGGCAGCGGGGACTGTGGGTTGGCTGCTTCTCACAGTCTTAAAAAGGTGTACAGAGGAGACCCAAGAAATGGCAGTGCAAGAACGCGAGCTGCAAACTTCAGTAGATTCCCTGAGGAGGGAAATGGCATTGTTGCAAAAGGTGGCATGTGAATGCAAGCTGCAGACTTCTGTGGATGCCATGAGGAGGGAAATGGTATTCATGTGGGAGGAGGCAGCACAAGAGCACTGGCAGCTAGGTCCCATTGGAGAGACAGCAGGGCTGCCAGGTGGTCTGAAGGAGGAAGAGGCCATCAAGAAAAAGGACAAACTCCTGAGGGAAGCACAGGTGGAGGTGGCATGAGAACATTGGCTGCGAGCATTGAGCTGAAGGTAAGAAACCTTCTGAAGACTGAGGTAGCATTGCTGCGAGGCACAGTAGAAAAGGTGAAGATTGTAGCAGAAGAGGCACTTGGGGGAGGGGAGAGAAAGGTGCTGTCAGCTCCAGAAATGGAGAAGCTGGGGAAGGATGAAGGGGTGGTGCTGGAGGCACTGGACCCTCCTGTATTGAATGCACACCCAGTGAGTGGTTGTAAAGAAAATAAAGACCC